GAGAGTAAAAGGGTGTGTAGAGCGGTCATGTTCATTCTCCAAGATAGGGTCGTCAGCTTTTTCTCAAAATGGCATCTCCCCATTCAAAAAGAGATCGTAACCAATTTTTTCCAGTTTTTTCCAAGATGGGGGGGAGAAGAAAACCTAGGATGGAATAACACGACACACACAGAGAGAAAGAGAAAAAAAAAACGCCATCTTGTCATTTTCTGATAGGGTACCGGTGTTCGAATACTTTTTGTGACCGACTTAAATTCTATAAGAAAAGTCCATGAAACTGTCGTTTTGAAATCCAAGAAAGTTTTTTGACCATAACATATAGAAGATTAGCAAAAAGTGTTTGTTGGGACGAATTCCGTTTTTGGAATTTTTGAAGTAAGGACACGTCAGAGCCGGTATCGACCAGAATGAAGGTTTGTTCTACGGTCACGAACGAACAGGCGACGTGAAACTTGAGGCAAAGAATAAGTCGCCTCTATTCTTTGCTGGTTTCGTTTCCCTGCCATGAACAAGGTTTTGTACATTTGTCATCTCTACACTTTTTCCCAAAACGTCTATGATACCAGCAAACAGAATAATCTCTCCTTTGGGAATTGCTTCTTTCCTTATTGCGATCTTCGCGATTTGGCGAGCGACCACGAGAAAGAGAAATGCGATCAATACGTTTGTTTAATTTTTCTATTTGTTTAAATAATTTATGCTCAAGAGACTGATCGACTGTGCGAGAAACGGCACAAGTCCCTGGGGTTGGATTTACTTCTAAAATTCTGTCGGCAATTTCTGCAGCTTTATCTACAGTTAAATTGGAAACCGCTGCCAAAATAGACTGAACAGTCGAAGGCAAACGTTGAAGGAATAATTCTAACATTAAGTTATCAGGAACATTTAAAGATTCTGCTCGACGTTTCATATTTCTAAGCAAATCGGAAGGTTTTCGAGAACCTAATTCTTCTCCAGATAATAATTGGCGAATTTCTTGCTGAGAAGATTCTCCTGAACGATTTATTAACTCAGTTTTAAGATTTGCATATGGATCAATAGGGTCTGGTTTCATAAGTAAATTCCGTACTAGTGATGCGATATCTGGAGGAAGATGAGAAAATACATAATTATATTTAGTAATGGATTCTGTGATAGGTTTGGGGGTGGCAAGAGCAAAAGTACTTTCACACATAATAAACCATAAAGATGGGTCTGATCGGTTATAAACCGGAATTTGGACGGCATGAACATCAGACATTGTGCAAGGTTTTTAAGCCAAAATAAAAGCAAAAATTTTACTAAAGAAAATGAAATTAAATGATAAGTAGTAAACAAGAATTATAAAATGATCTATAATTACTACTCATCTGTGATTCCGGAGGATGACGAAAAACCGATGTAATCCATTACTTCTGGTTTGGAGATCTTGAGTGATGGCCTTGTAGTCAAAACCGAAAGTGCTTGAGAACTGTTCATACGGCCTGATTTAGCACAGTTCCGGGTTCACCATTATGGTGATTCCTATCATGTTGTTACCTATATGTTTTACCACCAATCCTTGCATTCCATATCACAGATTATGTTCTTATTGCATTAATATAAATATTAACTAGACATAGTGCACAATAAAAATTAAGCTTTATTTAGGAACTTCGCGCACACTGCCCGACAGCCTGCCTGTTTCGCTCTGCTCGCTACTCGTAAGAAACTTCTCCTCTAGGGTTGCCACACTTATCTGAGGGCGCAAGGCGCGCTCCTTATCGCCATCACCACAGACCTTTTAGAGAATCTTAAGTTCCGATTTTTCGCACTCATATAGAGATGTGTGACTTCTCTCTCGTAGTTTTTTAAAATGACGAATTTCTCATATGATTCATGATGCGTTTTTAAAACATTTTCACATATACTTCAAATTCATATATAAGTTACAAACACTTTTTTGTCAACTTACTTCTGAATTTTCAGTTTATACTTTTACATACATGCATAATGTTAGACAACTCAAAATGTACTTTTTGACAAGAGATTTCCCGCAGCTGTATTCTTAATTTCCATGAGGTTATAATGGGTTTGAAATCACGTTTTCATATTTATGTAACTACTTTTCTTTTATAATTCAAGGTAGTTTCATGTATTATATAAAAATTATAAGCCTTTCAATACAGTAACTTGTATGATAATTCTTAATATCTTAACTATACCATTTCAGTACTGATGGAGTTAAGCATATTACTTTTATTTACATTACATGTTAAATTATTTAGAGAACATTAAAGCTGTGGCTACAAATTTGTATGAAGAAAACTTCAGTAATTTTTAAGTTTCTAAAGCTTTTCTGAATCAAAAGTTACTTTTCTAAAATTGTAAGCAAATTTTATATGATAAGTGGATAAATACATGCTGATGCTTTAATATATCTAGCAAGTTCGCATTTTAAACTTCTGAAAAATTTAATAGCTTGTCTGCATAATAATTCTTGTTTTTCATTTTTAATCTACGTCTTGTTTATCATTTTTAATATGCAGTTTGAAGTTTGCTCACATGGAATCGAATGTCTATTATTGCAACAATTTGGTTAAAAATGTTATTTTGTGTGCATATCCAGAAAAAGGTAGCTAAAAGCTTTATGATTTTAAATACTGATTTGAGATATACACCTTTAAATTTTGATGTTTTAGCAGAATGCTATAAAAACTATTTCAATGCTCTAATGGCTGTGGGAATCTATATTTTAAAAATATATTTTTATATAAATTTAGCAATGTAAAAATTCCATATCAAAAATACTATTTTTGTTCTTTATTTAGCTAAAAAGGAAATTTTAAAAATTAATAAATACACACATAAATAAATAAATAAAAAATAAAAAGAATACCTTTCCACACAAAATTTAGACACTATTTACCGATACATTTGCTATTGAGAAAATACTTTATACAGTACATAGAAAAACTGGTAAATTTATGAATTAAACAAGGGAAAAACATACATAAAATTTAAAATTTTAATTTTATATTTGCTTTATATGAGTAGAGAATTTTATATTTGCTTTATAGAAATAGTGAATATTTGTTAAATTCAAATTTCATTCCTTGAAGCAATGGCACAAGAAAATTATTAAAATTAATTTAATTTTACTATTTTCTCGTGAAACAATGTTGTTAATATATTATTACACATATCTGAATATTTAATGATAATTCAGTACTCTTCTGTTATCGGGATGGAAATCAAAAATGTATGTATACACACATACATATGCATGGTTCATATATACATACATTCAATATACATCCATATAGAGATTTCTGAATCCGGTCCCGATAACAGAAGAGTACCAATAATTCTATAATTAGTTAATATCCTTATTAATTAATTTGCATAAATAAAAACAAAAGTATTATTTAGCTTTAAATCTACATCTTTTGATAACAAACATATGCAAAATACTTGTACTTATAGTGAAAATAAAACAAAATTGTTATTTTTCACTCTTTTTTTCTAACACAGTGCAAGTCATTCCTTATTCAAATTTTATTAAACACAGTAACTGGATTTATTAAATAATTTTAATATTTAATAATAATAATAATTTTAATTTAATAAAATATTGATTTTATCCTTATTTAATTTGCATAAATAAAAACAAAGTATTATTTAGGTTTAAATCTAATCTTTTGATAACAACTGCAAAATACTTGTACTTATAGTGAAAATAAAACAAAAATTGTTATTTTTCTCTTTTTTTTCTAACACAGTGCAAGTCATTCCATTATAATCAAATTTATTAAAACACAGTAACTGGATTTTTTCCATTAAAGTCAACACCTTTATATAGAATATACATAAAGTCAACAGCTTTGTATAGAATGATATAATGCTAGACCTACTTTAACTGAAATTTTATTTATATGAATTTATGGGGAAATGCCAGAATAAATGCAAAAAAAACCATCTGAATAAATCTTAGCCGACACTGTTATGATAGTATTTTTGTTTTCAATAAAATGTTTTTAAGGTATACCATTTTAGTTCAGTTTTCCCCCCTATTAAAGGAGCTACCCTAAGAGACATATTTTATTTACATATATCTCATTAATATGTTAAAAATATAGCTTAAGTGAGTTTTATGTGCATACTGTAAGGAAGGGGAAAGCCTTAATTCAAAACCTGTTTTAAAGCAGTAAGTAAATAAATAAAATACATTGCTTTTTTTAGCATCTCAAAAAATAGTGTTTTGGCTTCTAAAAACAAATCCTAAGCATCACATCATGATAGATAATAATCTTACGTAAGAAGAAATATCTGATTAGGAATACATTCTTTATATTTATTTGATAAGATCAAAACATATATGCAACATCACATTATGAAAAATCCTGCGAATCATTACAACACTGTAAGACATTGATTAGTAAGGTAAACATCAGTTGATCATTCTTTCACAGTAGCAATAAATTTTTCATTCAAATTCTTAAAAATATGCCAAAACAAATTTACGATTGGTGCTTAAGATTTAAGGTCACACAAAAGTAAATTTGATTTAGCAGAGCTTGATATCTTCCATAACATAAAAGTAACTGCTACATGATGGAAGTTTTTGTGAACAAAATACAAACATTTTATAAATACTTAACCTTAATGACTAACTTCAAATTAATCCAATAATGATGGAAACAATAATGTAATTGAGTACTGCAAATTTACTTTGTATGATATTTCTATGTAAAATCTGAAATTTATAATAGGTGAAGGACTTTACATTATTTAAACAATGAAGCCCCACTTCTGAAAGCGAGGACTTAGACAAGACATATAGGACATTAAAACATACATTACCATATTATTATATTACTCAAAATTATTACTTTCAATAATACTGTTCTTTTGCTTACTTAATGCATATTCCTATATATATGTAAAATTTAAAATTAAGCAAAAAAGTTATTTTAGTTTAATCCTGATTTTGAACAAACCTCTGTAGACTTTGAAGGCAATCAAATACAGGTTTTCTCTTTTTTAGGGGCAAATCTGAAGAAATGAGACCTGTGTCTGATAGGCCTCGAAATCAGTAATTTTAATCAAAAACTATATCAAATTGAGGTTGCTTTTATGCCTCATTTTAAATATGATTATTATAATAAAATACACATTTAATTATATATATATAACAGCAAAATTTAAACAGTATTATGAATTATTATCTATTAAAAATTTCAATTTTTAATCTATTCTTAAGCACTGAAATTAAAGCTTAATCATATAATGCCTGAATTTCAATATTTTGATTTATTTATAAAACAAATTGGTCCATTTTTAATATGAAACATTTTTTATGAAAACTATAAAACTTAAAAAAAAAACATACATTTTAAAAACTGGATATCATTGAATGGTAGTTTGGTAAACCCAATGCCTTTTACATGCTGTGGGGTCAACAGTTGTGTTGGATTAGGCACATTAAACAAGGCTTTAGTTTTTTAAACCCATCTTTCCTAGAACATTCAAACTGGTTTTCTTCAAAATGCACCTTCAAATTTAACAAAAGCATGTATGAAGTTTAACATTAAAATCAAAAACACTAGTATTTAATTACAGTTGCATGTACTAAATGAATTTAATCACACTATTAAGAATGAAATTTTGTGAAAAATTTTAACTTTTATATGAAAATAGGACAAAATTAAGAATAAATAATTAAGTTTATGAAGCTTCCTGAAGGACACAGAATATATTTACCTCACTATACAGAATAACCTAAACAATTTATAATTTATGTTATACTTACCAATTTTTAAGACTGGCGCCAATTGATATATTTGGCGACAATACATCAGAATCAAAATACAGCATACACCTTTAATACACTATTCGTACAGTAAAATTTAAATAAAAAAAACGCCTATTACAATCCCAACCGAGACAAAGTTTACATGAAATATAGAATACAATTTTACAAACAGTATAAACTATTAGCAACAGTAAAAAACAGTATAAACAGTATTGGCGATATTTTGCTGCACAAATGCACACACATTCCACAATTGATTTTATATTTGTAATATCATTTCAGCGTTAATAAGTGACAGCTAAATGAAAGTACACATTTTGAAAAAAAATAATAAGGGAATTTTTCTCATATGCTATGAAAAAATACGAAGCTGCACTTACTTCACAAAAACACGCTCCTGCGACCGAAATCCGTTGATCTCGAACAGAAAGAATTACTTCTTCTTCGTCTTTTTTCATTTTTTGCTAAACAAAACATCCTAAAGTTATTTCTAGAATGATTTGACAATTTGGTGCAGCACATCTATCCATATTTCTCAAAATCAGGTCGAAACGATCAACAAAGCAATGCTGAACTAATAGCGAGTAGCAATAAAGTCAGAATAATATAGAATACTAAAATACCTGTTTATGGCATTTACTTATGAAATTAGCTGCGTAGCAGCGGGAATGATTGACATCCTTCACTACATTCACCAATTTTATCTGGCTGAGCAGTTTTAATACAATTATAAACAAAGCTTTCGCCTTATCCGTACGCTACACGGCAGCCATGCTGGCTCATCAGTCGTGACGTCACGCTGTCGATCCTTCCTCGGCTTCAATTTTGTGACGTCATGCTTACTCCATCTATTCTAACCTCCTTGCCAGAAGCTGAGTAAAGAGATGTTCCTTCATCTTGACACTCGAGACTAAAATACGATCTGTGTGTATTGATCAAGTTGGCATTGGTGAAAATATCAGATTTTGACTATGACTCACCAAAGGCTGTTGGATTGGAGAAATCTTTTGCTACTCATCAGCCAATAGCACGTGCTTAATTATTATGGTATTTCATAACAGTTGAACAGTTGTGTATACGGAATTTTAATAGTTGAAGTATATTTTTAATGTTAAGTCATTGATTTCAATCAAAAATTCACATTTAGAGCAAGCATATCATAATTTTTTAAACTGTAATTCTTTTTTTAAATGGATTACTCACATTCAGAAACTGAAAGCGAAGCAAGAGATAAAAAGTTCCGGATGAATGGAGTGTTATAGTACTCAGAATCTATTTCTTTAATAAGTAATTCTACAAATGTTAAATTCCATATAAAGTAAGTAAAAACAGATGCATCCTAAGGTATGATCTTATGAAATATGACTGAAATGGTTTTTTTAATCTCATCGCGTAGAGAATTAATTATATGTAATGAATTTATGGTAAAAATGAACTCACTATTACTAAAGCGTAATTTCGTGTTTACAGCGCGTGAAAGTCAGTCAGAAATTCATATCAATTGTTTAAATGAAAGGCCAGATTGAACTGAGGAATCAATAAGCTGTTTGAAGTTTTTTAAAGTGAATAAGAGAAGTTTTGACAGCAAATGATGTGAAAATTATTGCCCTTAATTTAAGTTATTAAAGTATTTCTTGGATAACATCAAATTATGCTGTACTTTAGTTCTAGAACCATGGCAGTTTTAAAATATGTGAAAGATGATTGGTTCTTCCATATTATGGCAATCACATGGCCACAGTTTGATGAATTTTTATATAAGAAAAAAGTGATAATATATAATTGAACAAAAATATTCCTTATATATCTTAAATAGGTATTTATCATGAAAATTTATGGTAAAATCCTAGTATACGGTGCAGCCTTGGAGCGATTTTGAAAATTATCGCCAACACTAAAAAATTACCCAAAGAACGTCTATGTATATACAACACTATATACTATCACTATACTATGCATAACTATATATATTCTTTGAATCACCCGTTTACTAATCATCGTATATGTCCCGTTTTTACTGCTCATCATAAAAGTCGCCACAAGTAGCCAAATCCCATGTGCACCGGATACTAGGATTAAACCAAATTTATCAGTAAATATTACTAGCATATTTTGGTTTATTTTTATTGTATTAGAAATTTTGTGTTCTTTGTAAGAATAGATTCTAAACTGTTGTTCCCTTTAGCAGTTTTGAGAGGAAATATTTTATTCTTGCAGAAATTTTATTGCAGATCCTTCACTTGTATTTGTGAGATTTGCCTGACACTTGTGAGTGTCAAGCAAATCTCACAAATGCATATAATATTTAGGGGAGAAATCACAATCTGTCTATAAAGTTGGAACTTGTAAAAAAGAAATTAAAAGTGCATGCCGAACTGGTGACATTACTTGTTAAAAATTAAAGAACTGGTGAATTTAGAATTCAAACAACCATCCCATTTGTGCTTTGGCAACTGAGGGTGATGGTTCGGTAAAACAATCAAAACTAGTCCTGTGAAAATTTGCAAATACATTGCTGATTTTTGTTGTTTGAATTCTAAATTAGTACTTGTTTGGTGTGTTATTTTATCTTAAAAAACTGGTTATCAGAGTTTGATGACTTCTACTAAGGCTGTTGCACTTATACATAAGTAGTGATTGATTTATTTACTGTAGAAATCATGTCAACCCGATTTTAGTTGTCCACATCATATTAAATATTCTCGTTGCATAAACGAACTTTATTCAGACAAAATGCACAACAAAATTTAATCTTTTATTTCAGGACCAGATATGCATTCCATCCCTCGACAGCCAGTCTCTGTTCTCCCTCTGCGCTTCTACAAAACTTCTTAGAGTTGCCATATTTATCAGCAGACATGCAGGGGTGCAAGGTCTGCTCCTTATCGCTATCACCACAATACACTGTAAGGAGAAATTTCATTATGTCTCATAGTTACTTATACATGTCTCCTCTTCATGTAGGAACTTTTGATTTGTTCTCATATTTTGAAATCCTTTTCTAAAACTTCATTCTTCAAAAACTGAATCCTTCGTTCTTATGCTGTCCAGTTTGTTCTCCAAGAAGTTTTGGGACATTCTTTAAGTTTTGTGTCTAATGCACTCGTGCTGTGGAAATGTCTAAAATTGATTTTTTTAGGTTTTCTGCATGTTTTCTTTTCTTCAGTGCACTTATGATAATGATCTGATAAGTATCATATTCCATCAGAAGAAAATCCTGAATGGCATCCTTCAAACTATCTTTGTTGCTGTAAACCATGCAAATTCGGCTTCAATTCTGAAACAAAAAAGAAGTTGCTTGGGGCCAATATGGTGGATGGGAAAGAAACTTGCATGAAGGTTGCTGATCAGCAGTTTGGGAAATCTAAACCTTTTGTACTGGAGTATCGTCTTGTAAAAGTAAGCATTATCTGCAGAGTTTGCCATGGAATAATAAGCAGTGGTTCTTCATCATCTTAAAATACAATGCTTGAAATATACCTGCTGGTTTCTGAACTTGTAGGGATGGGAAGATCTGCTGTATTTCCATACCATTTTTGTTTCCTAGGTGACAATGGTGAAGCCATGTTTCATATCCTGTCACTAGCAATGATAAAAATTTTTGTAAGTATTTATCATGGAGAGCATCTCTTGTGTTAAAGAAATATGTTGAATAATTTAGCATTTCTTCATTTCTGGCATCAGCATTGTAGTTACCCATCTGGCATAAACCTTTGATATTGACCATTTTTGGGATTCCTGAGCTAAATTATGAAATAATTACATTCATAGTTGTACCTCGCTTTGTTCACTAGTTACTTAAAGATAAATGGAATTTCCTATTGACCCTGTATGTATGTATGTATGTATGTATGTGTTAGTGTATACATAAATATTCCATTTTATTTCATTCAGTTTTTTTTCTTTTTTTACAGTGAAGAATATCATGGATGATGACAATAAGGTAAGCGGTTTCAAAACTGAGCATCTTTGCTCTGAAGTAATGTTGCAGAAGCAAGAGTCTACACCAAACAATAATTTACATTTTGAAAGTGAGCGTATCAAGACCTTTTCTTCATGGCCTGTTCATTTTCCTGTAGATCCTGCTCGTTTGGCTAAAGCTGGATTTTATTATACTGGAAATGATGATGAGGTGGTTTGTTTCAGTTGTCAGGGTCATGTTAAGGACTGGAATTATGGTGATGTTGTGTTAAGGAAACATGCTGAATTGTATCCACATTGTGATTTTATTAATAAACTGTCTAACAATGTACCAATTGGTCATTCTTCAAGTAAGATTAAAAATGATACTTTAAAAACAGAACTAATTACAAAAAGTGTAATACAGTTATCCCAAAGTAAGAATGATTTTGATTATGAAAAGATGAAATCCTTGTCAGAACGTCTGAAAACCTTTATTGGAAAGTGGCCATTAACTTATATTGATATGAGACAAGTTGCTCATGCCGGTTTCTTCTATCTGGGCTGTGAAGACAGAGTGCAGTGTCCATATTGTAAAGGCATTGTAAGTAACTGGGAAGTTGGTGATGATCCATTAGATGAACATTTGAAGCATTTTCCAGGATGTGGGTATTTATCTAATTTTAAATCTGGAATGCAGTCATGCTTTCATAATAGTTCTGAAGATGTCTGTGGAAACATGAAAAGAAACAATACCTCTGAGTCAGTGAAGTGTCGACTTTTAGATGAAAGTCAGCAGCACATAAATCTCCAGAAATTAGGAGTCCATTTGCATAAAGGTCCAACGCATCCTCAACAAGCTTCACTATCTGCTCGTTTGCGATCATTTGTTTCATGGCCTTCAAATGTCCCTGTTTCAAAGGAAGATTTAGCTGAGGCAGGATTTTTTTACATCGGTATTATTTTAATTTTTAAATATTTTATATTAAAATTTTTGATTTTTTTGTCCCTTTTTAAAATTTTGTTAAGTTATGGTATCGTGAAATAAGTAAGAACTATATTTTCTCAGCAAGATTTTTCCATTAAAAAAGTTCTCCGGGTACTTTTCCTTTTCGCCGGCGCAAATCTCGCCAAGCAGACTTTATTGGCGACAACACCCAGTGTACACATAAAAAATATTAACAAATGTTAAGAAATTTTTATTTTGAAGGCATAAGCATTTTAATATCGTTTATAATTTTGCAAAAAGACTATAAATAAAGACAGTAAATTTGTAAAAAGACATTAATTTAAGAATTTACTATGCTTTCATGGTACAACATCCTGATTCGCCGTTTCATATCACGTAACCCTTAGTGATCTTATCTCACGTAACTACGTTACAAAAATCTTACTGTCTCAGTAATTATCTACATTAATTTCAAGTTATATCTTAATTTGGAATACAAGTTTAAGTGCACAAATTATTTCAATTCGTACAAATAGCTTACTCAGAAGTTATGTAAAACCGCAGTGCTTTACTTCGCTAGTGCATTCTCATAAGAATTGATAAATTTAAAACTTGACTTTGCCTTTTCTATATTTTCGTCTTGGGGTGAGCGGTGTGATTTCACCCTAATTGACTTAATTACCGCGAAGGGCCTTAGGACATAAAATTGAACTGTATGGTAAAAATTGTATGTAATTTTATGCTAGTATTGAAAGAAACAATCTAATAAGAAATCGCTCAACTTGTTTTGAAAATGAGGTGTAAAAGATACCAGCGGGGATATTTCTTTTGGCATCGATTGTACCATTTTTCACGACTTTATCACTTGCGCCGACAACCTGGAAAAGTATCGTTCTCCATTAACAATGGAGAGATTAAGTATGAAATTTTACTCAGATTGTAAAAAATAATTCTTAGGAGCAGTGTCTCGCTTATCTCGTTTTCTTGAATATTAGTTGAAATATATCCTTTCTTGTGCTCTTTCTGGTATTCTTTTGTGAAACTACCCAGCTATGGGACAGTATTAGTACCTCATTGTAAAGTTTATAATGCAGATGTTCTTAATTAACATTGATTTGATATTATGCTATTCACATTCCTTCCACAGTCTAAAAAACTAAATATGTAATGATTCATAATAATGCTTTGTACAAACTGGGAAATTACCAAGTTACTTCTTTAAGAAGGGGTCTGAAAAGGTTTCAGACATTGATAAACAATAACTAATGGTATTTGATTTTATTCAGTAGAATTATTGTATATTTTCAGGCTATGAAATTAGACAATAGCTTTTATTTAACATTTCATGATACATGAAGCTAATATACATTTAACCTAGAAAGAATGATACTGGTGCTTAGCAAAAAAAGTTACATTTACTGGAAATTGTGTATTTGTACTCTGAATAGATGAAAGCAGTGAAGTAAATTGCGTGTTAAAATTTATCTTAATTTTATGAAATGTCTTTTATAACTGGTATTTTGGTGTAAAAAAATGAGTTAACTGATAAACTTAGTTTTACTTTAACTGGTGAATCTGAAGACCAAATTTATTGTAAAAAACTAGAAGTTATTCAATAAGAGTCAGATGATAATAGATGACCTAAAATCTATTAGATGATGTTAAGATCTCAGTGAAAGATAAAGGGTTTCTTTAGAGCTAGGAACTCTTGACTGAAAAAAACGTATATTCTTGTTTATCTCTGCAGTTATTTGAACTATGAAAAGTAAAATGAAGACCTTATTTAGTCTGTAGCAATTGCTACATCATAAACATTATTTTTCTGGTTTAAGAATAACTTCATGCTACTACATTTAAAAGAAAACAATTTATTATTCACTTTTTAAATAACATCATTCTATGAACTATTTTCGTTTCTACTGTTGCCACTCACAGTCTACATAAAGTTGTACAAAAGAAAAGATTATACAGTACAAAGTCCGAAATCCGGACTTGTTGGGACTTCGGCTATTCCGGATTTGGGATTTTTCCAGATATTAGATCATCAGCTTAAATCCACTAAGATGGCATGTAGAAAATATGAAATCATGATTAATGAAATAAAGTATTTATGATCTAAAGGGTATCAATTTTTTTTTTTTTTTTTAAAGGGAAGGCTTAATATTTATATGTTTACCTTATTAAATATTTCTTTCAATGTAAGGTCTATAAGTTGCTTCGTTTCTTTGTGCTAATGCTTGCTCTTTAATTGTGCAGACAGACATAATCTCCTCTTGTTTAGTTATGTTGTTAAAGTCCTGTAAGTGCTGCTTGGAGAATTCCGACTAAGTTGTCATTCGAAATTTTCCTGTTTACTTATCTGTCACTTTCTTCACTATTGGTAGCGGTATTTTCTGTATCTAGAACTATACTACAGATTTCACCATTCATTAATTGATTGATGATTGTTATCACAATAAAAACTTCTTTTATATCATCTTCATTTATTACTGCTTCTCCACATTTCTTTACAAAATCCGTTAATTGGAAAATTTAACCTTGGTTTTGCGATATCCAAAAACCTTTAAATTAGCGGCTACCATAATCAAATTTAGCTATCCTTCACTATACATATTTGGCCATGCATCATGAGCTTGGGGACTAATGAAAAGTTGTTCCGTTAAATTTTATCTCGCTTCTGTCGTGCACTGAGACAATTCAGCCTGAATTATATTACAGGGTTCGTAGCGGTCCTTATAAGTGCTTTTAAGTCCTTATATTTGAAAATAAAATATAAAGGCTCGTCTGATCTTTGGAATATGGTAACAGGTAGTATGGCGACATTTTGGAGGCGATAAAGGTTACTACCTAGGACTTTGGTAATAATGTGAGAATACTCAGTTCCGATACGCATTATTTTGTGTGAGGGAAATGAGAGATCATGAGATATGTCATGTGACATTAATGGACGAATTACAGTTCTTTAATCGGAAAAGGGGTAAATTTGGAAAAATATCCGTAGTAATATATTATTTTGTATTAAGCTTCATTGGTGTTGTGTGAAATAGTGTTGATTAATTTTCGGATGCATGGCGCTATATGTAAAGTGAATTCTAAATTTTAATGCGTTTATCTGATATAATAAAAAGTTGAGATTGGGTGAAAGGAAGATATTACAAATAAGTTTGAATGGCGGTGCAAGAAATCTGGGGAAAATGGACATTTGTGAACGGAGTGTAAGGAAGGTACGTGGTTGCTGAAAGTAGTTTGAGTATGGGTGAAATTTATAATTTCTTATTACTGGGTGAATAGACTGCAGTTGACTACTGGATTAGGATTTAGAAATTAGCAGTAGTACTGCAGCCGATGGAACTAGTAAAAAGTCGACGTGTGCAAGGTTTAGTTATATTGAATTAAATGATAGTTTTTGTGAATTTTATGTTTGGTAGCAATTTGGTATACGTTTCAGTTGAAGTAAACGTGCATGAAGTAATTTAAATATTGACACTAAGTATTGTAACCATTTTATGTTTGCGGTAGAAATTCGTTGGTGACGTTTATAATATAATATATAATTTAGAGGTAAAAGTTGGATATTTATTATTTTATACGTGGAAAGTTCATCCTTGGAAACGTATATACTTTTTCACGATCAGGTATTTCATATATGTTCTTTTACCGAATTTAAAGTTCACAAATTTTCATGCATTTTCGTGAATTTTTCTAATTATGCCAATAGCAGTGTACATGGATATAGTGAAGAGTGTGCAATGCCATTTTTGGCAATTCTGGGATTTTTTTTAGTAAAAATAAGTCGACGTGTACATGTTAGTGATATTATTAAAATAGTTATTTTGTGAATTTGTTGTAGCCTTGGTATATGTTTCAGTTGAAGTAAACGTATGGAATAATTTAAATATTGACACTAAGTATTTGTACTATTTTTAATGTTGCGTTAAAATTCGTTGGTGACGTTATAATATAAAGATAATTTAGAGGTAAAAGTTTTTGGATATTTTATTTATTTATATGTGGAACTTTTCATCCTTGGAAAGGGTATACTTTTTCGTGATCAGGTAATTTCATATATGTGCTTTTACCGAGTTTAAAGATTCAGAAAATTTCCTGCATTTCGTGCAAATTCTTGTAATTTATGAGAAAATAGCAGCGTAGATGGTAAAGTTAAGAGTGTGTGCAATGCCATTTTTGTGCAATTCTGGGATGTTTTTTTAAGTAAAAATAAGTCGACGTGTAAATGTTTATGTGTAGTGTTATTCTGAAAAACGCCCAAGGAGTTTGCGATTGTGCACTTTTTCCCAATTTTGCAGTAATATTGTCATGATAAGCAGTTTGTACTAAAATTCTAGCATAATGTATTCGGCTATAATGTTGGAAAAGGTGTAAGAAAAGAACATTCTTACTCGTGAGACAAATGGGGGAAAAAATAGAGGGTTGCTAGCAGTTGTCCAAATTTCGCCAAAAATCGCAATTACATAATCCAAAGATCACAAAGGCCCTTATAGGTGCTTACTTTTTCTTTAAAGCCCTTATTTTTTTTTGTTTTTAGTGCTTATTTTTTGCTTTTAGTGCTTTTTTTTTAATGAACGCGCTATTTTCCCCCTACCAAAGCCGAAACTAAATAAACAACTTTTCTTAATATTGAATGTCAGGTGGTGAATCATACTCCCGGAAATAGCTTTCCCCCCTTTCTCTGCATTAACATAACCTTTGGTGCGCACAAAGAGTACAGACAGGTGCCCGTCGTTATATTGGTCAAAGAATTGCGAAAGCAGTAGAAAATTTCGGTACATTCGGCATTCTTTTCCTCTCACCCAAATACTATACACGTTTAAATTTCTATCCAGATCTTAATAATTTGCATTCTCGTTCCGCTCAGTTCATATTTGTGTTTATTATGATCATTATGCTTATATTATGAGTATATGTATGAATGTTTATAATAACAGTTGCAGTAACTGCTGAAGTATAGTAAACTTCCAAAAATGGTTGTGTATTTAACACAGCGTT